TTTCCCACCTCAAAGTGCAGTTCAAGGCAAACTTCGCAGAGTGCTCGCACATTTTCCAGCCTTTATTCTTTTGCGAAACCGAAATTCTAATCAAAAGCTACGCCTTAGTGACCAGGCCACGCCCACATGTGCGTTAACTTGGGCAAAATTGAATGCAAAACGCAATTTGTAGTCGAACGAGCTGAGAGCGAAGAGAGGGAGGAACAAGATTGCCTAATAACTTGCATCAAATGACAGCCGACTTGACCTGGATACCGAGAGTGAAAAATAAGCATAAACAAGAAGTAACATGTGTATGCTACATATAAATGCCAATAAAAATGTTTCAATAAGTCGGGACAGGTGCCAACAGCTATGCAAATGCAGCAGAAAATACATCGCTGCACAATCGAAGGAAACAACAATTAAGATTTTAGCGATTACAGATCCGAAACAGTGAGTTAAAACTATTAATGAGGGGAGCGGACAGCTGACAGCCGACAGGTAAAACAAAACAAAAAGGCAGATTCAACTCGTTTTCAAATTAAGTTCGTTGCCTCAGTCATTCGTTTTCTGCTTGCAGGCTTTGGCATTTTGATAAAGCAATTAAAACGGAATTAAACCGAAATCACCACACACAAACGAAGCAAACAAACTGAAATTCATCACAAATTAAAGGCCGAGGCGACATTGGACGATTTATTTTCGAAAGGTTCTGCTAATTGCGAAGTTCCAGGCAAAAGTGTCACTGAGTACCGAAAAATGGGGCGGTATGACCTCCAACACATTCTAACGCCCGCTGACATATCACGAACTTTGTTTGGGAAATGCAAATTGAATTTGGGGCTCCAGTAACTCCGCCGATCGATTTGCATAGCACTTATACCCGCGAAACTCGAATTGAGAAATCGCTGGGGAAAAAGAGATTCCGATTCGGATTCGGATTCAAACGAAATCGAAAGGGGCATATGCGTGACTGCCTGACTTGAGTAACTCAACCCAGGTTGAACCCACAATCAATATTTTTGCCAATTTGAACTTTTGACTGACCAACAATAATAGACGCCTCGGGCTAAAATGTGAGTAACGGCGGGCAAAGAAACAATGGAGCGGATAAAATTGGCTTCTTCTTAGAAATTGTTTTTGGATGATTGCCCAATAAAAGTGGGAGTCTCATTAAAAGCAATATTCGATTGAGAAATGCACGCTTAACCTTGCAGAAATATTTTGTGAAAATTTTTAGAAAATATAGCAGAACATTTTATGAAAAATTTAAAGAAATTCTAGCCCAAAATATAGAGAAAAAATGCCAAATATGAAAATTTAGAGAAATATACCACCAAATAATTTCTAAAAATTTAAAGAAAATATGCCACAAATAATTTAATAAAAATTTACAGAAATAGTCCAATATATATATATATCTTTAAAAAAAATAAAATATATGTAAAATTTTGAGGTTTTTTCTAAAAAGAATTATTATTGATATTATTATTATTATTCACACGTTCGAATCTTTAAATGCTTCCTTGAACTATATTTGATCATGACTGTAAGAAATATTCAATCAACTGCTTAATTACCCAGAGGTCAGTGGGTGGAAACCCTTTCGACAGCTCGAAGATTTTTCCAGTCTTTTAAACCAATCGCCCGCTGGGCTCAATCAATTTAGGGTTCAATCACTGCTTTGGTTCTCCGCGCTCTTCAATTCAATTTAATTTTTCCGATTGCCAGCCGATATTTAATGCTCGCGAGTTTTGTAAACACTTTCAATTAATTCGTCGGACTGCCCTTGTTATTGTTTTGGATTTCGATATTCGATTCGCTTACAAGGGATTTCCCAACAATTGTTTGTTTTTCAACTGCTGCTGTAGCTGTTGTAATTGAACTTTGCACCGAAATGTTTGCTTCGGTTAATTTGTAAATCGAACATTTAGTCGGCGAAGATACAAGAGTTACATAATCCATGGGCTCAACTGGGCGACGCCCACCCTTAATGAACCCAAAGTTCAGATCTTGGCCACTCCACCACAGCCACATCCACATCCAAATAAACCACGTCAGAGGGTAATTAATGTAAGTCTCGGAGGGGGAAACTCAATTAGTAATTGTCTGTCGTCCCAGGGCCCGTCGTCTTGTGTTTCTGTCGCTGTTTTTGACTCCGATTTCGATTCCGAGTCGGTTGTAAGGTTGTCGGGCGAAATGTCAACGGATTTGTACGCATTTCTAGGTGCAGCCCAGACTTTGGCTTGTGCCTCACCCATGGTTCTTAACTGGTTCCATTTTTTTTTTTTGAAATTTATTAATTTTTTCTGCCACATGTTCACCTGCTCCAGTTTGCCCCGAGGGGAAGTGTCAGGGCTCTGACTTGATTATGACACATTACTTTCGGGGAATTCGAATTGAATTCGCATAAAAGTCATTTAACTTTGCTTCATTAATTAGCCTTGTTTGATGGCTCTGCTAATAGTGTTAATTAAAACGACCCAAAGATGTGCCAGGCAATAGTATATCATAAAAAAATATAACTCATCTTAAGTAAAGCGAACTTTGTATACTCTAGAAGCAGCCATTAGCCGAGATTTATAGGTTTAGAATTATATAGAAATGGGAAGTACAAATCATCCAGTTCAAAACATTAATCAGTTACCATGAAGGGTTTATTGCTGAAAAGATTTATCTAGGAATTAATAGAGACAGCCAAGTGTGTTACATAAATTAAGATCTTGGTTTTAAGATGGTGTTAAAAAAAAGCTTTGTAATTATTGAATGATTAATAAATTAACTGGATTCCCATTAAATCTCACTTAAAAGTTCAAACCACTTAAGATGTAAACATGACAGGTGTTTATTTCCAAGAAAAATCTTAAACGAAAAATAGTAAAAATGTTTTTCTTTTCTAATTTTGCAGTGAATAAACATCTTATATAAATTAGTTTTTGATGGCAAAGTGATGGTAAAATAATAAAAAAAAAGCAATTCATTGTCTTGTCTTTACGTCTTATTTAAGGAGAATAAGCTTATGTTTGGTTTAAAACCCCATTAATTCCTGATCATAAAAAGGTCTACTTAAGAAGCCTCGATTGGTGATAAATATCGGGGGATAGCATCACGCACTTAACCTTGGCTTTGTCTGAGTGACAAACAACTATCGAGAATTATATGGCATTCGGCTAGTTCCAGGTCTTCTTTTCAGCATTTCCATTCGCTTTTCTAGTTTTGGTTTTTTTCATTGCAATTAAAAGTCGTGGGAATGAAATTTGCATATGCAAATTCGATGATGGAATACAGTGCGAGATTTGCGAATTTTTTTTATGTGTCTGCTTTGCTTTGGTTTCGTTAAAATTTTTGTTTTTTTGCCAATGACATTGAATGGTTAGTGTGTAACAATTTGCCAAGCTTGTCGCTCGCCAGGCGGAAGCTTTGATAGGTGGGGTTTTTATGACTCCGAGAAAAAGAAAAAGAGAAATGAGAGGGGGATGATGCTGCCATAAATTGTCCGACGTTTAGTCAATCAATCAAAAGACTTAGGCAACGAACTTGCTTTCAGTTTTTGGACCGAAAAAGCCTTTTTCTGCTGCTACCACATTTGTTTCGACAATCTGTAGCTGCATTGTATTTAAATTTAAATTTATTCTGTGTCTGATTTTATTGGACCCACCACGTAGACTGGGCAGCTGCAATGCCAATGGCTCTATTTCAATTCGGTTTCCATTTTCATTTCGATTTGAGTTTGAGTTTGAGTCTGGGGGCTGACATTTTCCATTTCAATTCGAATGAACTTTATCGATGGATGTCTCCTGCCGGTCGCTGTTCACTCAATTAAAATTAATATGCAAATTAGTCTGTCTGCCACCGTGTGACGTCTGTCAGGCTGATTAAAGCGCAATTCGCTGGCAATTTCAATGGCCAATTCAATTGAAATTGAACCTAATCAAAATAATCCGCAATAACAAAGACACTGGTAACTGTCAGTCGGCAACAAAAGTCCGAGGTTTGATCCCCCCATGAAGACTATTCTCTGTTCTTCACATTACTTAGCACAATTTGTATTCATTATAGCCAGCATATTTCCGCAATGCAAGAGCTTAGCAAACAAAAACTAGGCAAACTGGTATGAATATTAATAAATGTGAGCCACAGCTAGGTTTTTAATTTATCTATTGATCCTCTTAAAAAGTCTATAATTTTTTATGGTGCCATGTTTATGCAATCCGTGACATTTGGCCTATAGAAAGTTATCTATGAAAAACAAAGCATAAGCTTTGTTCATAAAGAATAGTTCTATATCAAGTTCTCCTAATTTCAAATGGAACAAAAAATGCTTCATAAATAAATAGTTCTATATCAAGTTTTTTCTAATTTCCATTTAAACGAAAATGAATTTTTAATTTGATAAATATGCTTAGAACACTTATCGGTTAAAGAATAAATTATGGAAGAACCTATTGAAAATATAAGTATTTTTTGAAATAATGTGATATTTATGCAATCTCTGACATTTTGACTATTGAAAGTTTTTTAAATCGAAACAAAAAGTAAAAAACAGTGGATAATAATTTATAAGTAATCGAAAAAACAATTATTGTTGACTTTTTTTGTTCATTTCCAGGAAGCTGGAATTAGCCCAGAATTCTAAAGATTTTTTTTTTAATTCACGTTAATAGAATCTCTTTCTTTAATTTTACTAGAAGAACAAAAAAATAATAAAAAACAAAGTGAATTTTTTATTTGATTTTTATGCTATATTAAAACCGGAGCCAACATTTTTTTTCAAGTTGTATTTTCTATATTTGTCACTTTTTATGCATTCAATATATTCTGTGAATCAAATGTTCTAAAGTCAAAAACATAACACAAAAATTTCGGCCAGCCGCCAGAATTGCATCATAAATAATCGCTTTATTTGATGCTCAGGAACTTTCGTGCGAAAGCTAATTAATAATGCGACGATTTCGTAAATTTATGCCAAGAACTGGCTCACATCGTTTACTCCTCTTCACATCAGGGGGCTCTCTTACCTTCACTTTTGTTTAGAACTCAATTATTTGATGTATCCAAATGAAGTGTATATTCCGAAGGCTGCAAATAAAAACCAATGGGTTTTTTGTTTTAAGAACCCTGAAAAACAGGGGAGTTGAACACTCGCACCTTATCAAGGATATGGGCGATTGATCCTTGGCTGCACTTCACTTCCGCGCGAGTTTAAAAGTCAGGCGATTTTATTTCGAGGCGTTCGCGATGTTTGCGGTTTGAAGGCGTTTGCTCCACTGAACCACTTTTTATGCAACACCAAGTAGAAGTAGCCGTCGACTCCGAAAGTCCGGTATTCCGAATAACCGACTGCGAGTGCCCGAAGAAACGAAGCGGCAGGCTTCTCTTCGGCTCTTCGGGTTCAGATATCCGCTGACTTGGGTTTTGTTTCGAAGATGGGATCCATATACTAAAGAATCATATGCAAATCTTTGAGCACCTGCCTCTTAAATCTTGGCTAATTAAATTTTCGTATCCAAGTCATTCAAAGACCCAGCCAAAGGCCACTCCCTGGCCTCCCCTAATCACGGTTATTATTTATGGGCGTTGGGATAAATCATGATCAAATTGAACTATAAATCTGAGAGCTGAAAATTGCCGCCGGTGGCAATGCAAAATTGGTCCAACATTTCATATTTCAAATGCCCGAGATCAAACAAATCGTAAATTGAATTTCATTTCACAGCGACTGCTGCTGCTCAGTCATATGACCTTATTTGGACAATGGGTTATTCGCCGGATCGATGCGAGAGTTTATCAAGTCATAAACTATATAAAGTGTCAGCCGTGCTCATGTAAAGTTTCATAATCACAGTGGAGTGTCTGGGGCATGTTCAGCCTGTCGATTCTGCGGGGCTTTTCGTTTTTCCATGTTGCTAATGTTTCTGGCGTTTCTGGGGTTCCCACCTATAAACCGTCAAACCCGAAAGTGAGTGTGAATTATTGCACTTTGTCTTGACACGACTTTGGCTGCTCTCCTGGCCCTCCTTTAAATGCCCAAAATAATTCCCCCAGCCTCGGGAGCCTCAAGTACTATCCATATCGTTGCGAGAGGCCTGGCCCCAACCAAAACAAAATGTTATCTAAATGTCTCACACTTCCCCATTGCATAAACTTCGCTTTAGGTTTGCATTTCACATGCCTATGCAGAAATAATATTCGATTGTTCCATTGGTTAAAGATCAAAGTCATTATTGAATGGGCTTTGAGGATGGCCGTTTGTTTTGAAAGAAGTTGGTTATAGAGATTTTGTGGGTATTATGATTTTAAGAGAAAGGTTGCTAAATGTAAACAAATGTATAAGGCATACTAAATTAATTATTAAATATTAAAATACTACAAAAATAAAAGAAAATAACCCAATTTATAATTGAAAAAAAATCTTTTTATAAATTGAGATAATCCACGATTACTCTCACTTTAAAATACAATTTTCGCTTTTTTCTAAAAGGCCTTAATAAAAAATAATAAAAAATAAATAGGTACATTTTATTTTATAAATCTGCAGTTAAGTAACCCAATTATTAATAAAAGAAAATCAATTTATGAACTTAGATTAATCAACGATTACTCCCATTTTAAAATATAATTGTAGCTTGTATATGATTGCAGCCCACCTAATTTATGGCTTATTTTTTCATTAAGTAAGTTAAATCCAATTTCGGAAATGCCCAACTAATTTTAATATTAAATCACCAATAAAGAATTCAAGTTCCTGAAATAAAATCTACGATTAGAGTATAAAAACCTCCTCGTAAAAACCGCACAAAAACTTTCATTCCCGATGACAACTATTCGTGTATGCGGGATAATAGCTTATTGTGGTAGATAAATTATAGCAACCTGTTGCTGTTGCCATTGCCATTTCTGAACTTGAACTCAACTTTCAAACGAGCAAGTTTCGCGATCGACTAACTCATTGTGCTATTTAATCTGCTGAAAAAAGTCGAAGCCTTTGACAATCGCTTCTTTTGTGGGGAGAAGAGAAGCGCTTCTCTTCACTTTCAAATCGCAGACGCCTTAGCTTCCGGCTCGATTTGCATATGTGGCCCGGCCTCTTTGACCATTTAGCACTTTGGATTAATCTGATCTGAATGCCAATTTAAAAGACCACCCCGATTAGTGGGTTTTCTCACTTCTGGTGCTGACAACTCAATTGACGAGTGACGGCGGCAACCTGTCAAAGGAGCCTAATGTGCCTCAGACACGCAATCCGCGGGTTCTCGAATAAAAGTCATCGAATAATTCCCACCGAACTGTAGGCGAAAATCAACTCCACAAACACTGAAAAAGCGAGGGTAAATCTGAGGACGGAGGCGCACGTTTACAGCAAATAAAATTAGCTGCTTGTCTTGGTAATTGCACTGCCGGCTGCATTTTGGCCAGGAGTTGCTGGCCAAGTTGCAGGCGAAGACATAAAGCAAGCCAGCCCGTCACCAGCCCACCACAATGGAAAACACAGACGACTCCACGAATGGGCAATTTCGGAGTCATAGGTGCCCGTGCTGCCAGCAGATTTAATTTTCAGAACGCGATGGATCAGACAAAAAAAAGAAGGAATATTACAAATAATTTTAAAAATTGGTTTTGAGCTTTAGCAATTAAATTTTTAAAATAAAAAATATTTTATGCTCAACTCACAATTAAATAAATCAAGAATTGTTTTTATTCTTTGGCTATTATTTTATATTTAAAGAAAACATATGGACAATAGCAAGACAAACAAAAAGCTTTTAAAAACATTTAACAAAAAACGAAATAAAAAAAACTTTTAATAATGCTCTAAATAAATAAAAAAAACTTATTAAAATAAAATTAACATATTTTCTGAAATTGTGCAAATAAATTTATATTTAACTAAAATATCAAATGCCACTGAATTCTTAAGAAAGTGGTAGGTACATAAACAAGAAGCTTATTGATACATTTAAAAACAAGGAAGTTAGAAATAAATAATAATAAACCAGTAAAACTGATCTAAATAAATCATAAATTGAATCAAATAATAATAACAGTGTGCGGAATACCTTTCGCATAAATACAAGGGAATCCAAGTAAATTATTATGCTTAGCCAAATACCATAGAATTAATAAATAATATTGAAAATGAGGAAATAAACCGTGCCAAAACGGAACTAAACGTATCCATATTAAGCCATTTCCGAACTGGTTCCCAACCACAGTGAATCACTAACCCAAAGGCCTCTCGCCATTCTGAGATTTGGCCAAGTCGAGTCAAGAACTCGCGGCCATCGAGAGTGGACTGTCGTCTTGGCCGTGTTGCAATTAACTAGCCAACTAAGCAGCAATTGGCCACAATTATTATTATTATTTCTTGTACGAGTAGTATGCTTATGCTCCGATGGCCGATTGTTGTGCCCGCCGCGTTTTGGTAATTGTTTTAGCCATGTTTTGCCATTTATGTATGGGCCCGGACCCCAGACCGAATATGTGACTGGAACCAAGTCGCCTAAGTTTTATTTAGTGCACTGGAAATATTAGTATTTATAATAGAATTTATTTCAGTCTTTTATAATTTTGAGATGGAAGAATATATATTTTATTAATTATTATAATTATTATTTTAGCTCCCATATTTTTTCGAGTGTTCTTTTTTTAGTATTTATTTTCCGCAGTTGTTTTTTCCCAGTTCTATCGGCTACCGTGCGTGCAGTCTCCCCAGATTGGCCCCTCGCCAATCCGCTGACCCCCAGCCCCCGAAATCCACCAGATGACCTTAATTCGCCTTGCCCACCGGTCGTTTATCTTGCGGCTCCGCCAATTTGCTGCACATTATTCACATTTGGATTTGCACCCAGTCAAAGACAGAGATTTGTGGATTTTGGCTACAGAGAAAGCTTTATTATTGCTAAGCATAACTTATGACTAAGGATATACGTACAGATGGATTTTGGATACGGACGCTCTTCTTTCGCTTAACTCGTGTAAATAGATTTATCTGTGTGTGTATATTTGCACTATTTCAACCAGGAACTGCCCATTTTCATGTGTGTTTGTGTATGTGGTAAGTATACAGAATACAATTGGAAACTAAGGTTAACTTAAGGATAAGATAGGGATAGAATCTAAAGAGCCTCACATCTTGTAACCGAATAATGCACTTCGCTTTCTGCTTAGACTTTTCGTTAACTCTAATTAATCAGGTATACTTTTGCATTTAGAGGTCATATAATATTAATGTACAATCCTTGTGCTGTGTGATATCAAAGGTGTTAAGGTACAATTCATTCCAGCAGCTGGCGGGCCTCACTCAAAACTCGGGGTAATCGGGATATTCTGGATATCTGGGACATTGGATCCTCAATGATAGTGGGGCACACGGAACTCGGTTCGCTCAAGTCGATCGTCCTCATCGCTCACATACATTCTGGTTAGGTCCGAGGCCAAAGAGACATTATCGCTGCTGCAATGATCATGAGCCAAAAGTCGAGACATGAGCAAAACACACTTAAGAAGTTACCCGCCCAAAAAAAAAGGCCAAGAACGATTTCCATTGATTTTTGGCGGCCAAAAATAGCCATTGAAATCGCACAAAAAAAGTGGGATCAAAATGTTCGGCAGCCGCAAATGGCTAAGACTGAATAATTGCTTGCCATAAATTTATGTGAGACACTGTTCGGCAATGCCCGGTATTCTCCAACTATCCCCCCTTTGGCGGACATATTGACAGCATGACGGCCTGCCATTTGCGCAATCTGTCTAATTGTCAATTAGCCAGGTCGAAATCTTGGATTGGCTTTGACTTGAGCCTCGCCTCCATCGGTCTCAATTTCAATTTTCTTTTTTTTTACGTACATCAGTTGCCATCAGGCGAAAAGTCCTCCATCGATTAGTTAGCCAATAAAATGTTATTTTAAAGGAGTTCGGGGGTCACAAAATAAATTAATAAAGTAGTTGAGATGGTGGTACATTTCACCATCCTTAATGTATAACAATTATTCATCTTAATTTAGGCTTTTTCAAAGCTTGGGCGAATTTGATTGAAGAAATTTGTCAAGCCAGTATTTCTGTTTATAATAAGTACATGGTAAGGGGGAGATATGCCTAATGCACAGCATTCGTACATATCTCGAAGTTTTCTATACATAAGAAGGGAAATCTCTATTTAAGAAATCTGTTCAAACAATATTTTCTAAATACTTCTTAAGGAGGAGGCTTCATTAAATGTTGAGAACATTTTATGGGAAGATTTGGAAAGGCGAATAAGAAAATATTGCATTGAAGAAATCTGTCAAACAATTTCTTCTGAAGGAAAAGCTAGAATCCATAATTAAAATAACATATTTTAAAATATTTCTTGGTACACAAAAGACAGCACAAAATAATAAAAATACCCAAAGTGCGACTTTCTAAATGGGCGTCCTTTCGAACTGGATTTCCAGTTTCTATCGCACTCACTTTAATTCCTTCTCCTTCTCGTAAACAGAGGCCACCATGGCACTGTACTCCTGGTCCAAGTTGTTGGCCCGCGAGAAGTGCGAGCTGTTGACCTCCAGTCGCTCGAAAGAGGACTTCATGGAGGCCTCAACATCCACCTCCATGTCCAGACCGGAGGAGCCACCTACTGCCGTTCCCGTGCTCATTAGAGCCACCATGGACAGCGAGGACACGGTGCCCCCGCATCCGGAACTGCTGCTGTTCTCATTGTGACTGCCCATGAAGGTGTTCTGCATGTTGAAGCTCAAGGTGTTCTTGGGATTCACCGAGCTCATCGAGGTGCTCGCCGCCTGCGAGGTGACCGCACTGATGGACTTCCCCAATCCCTCATCGTCCACGATTGTCGACGAGGAACCAATGCTGTAAGAAAATATAAAAAAATAAGGTTAGTAAATATTTGAAAATTTCAAATTTGCTAAGATCTAAACTATAAATTTTCGAAAAAGTACAAACTTTTTTATTACATTTTTTAACGGGAAAATACGAAAACAATTTATCTTGATTAAATTCAGTATCAATAAAAGAAAATTAAGGAAAATCTGTGTTTTTTTAATGTCAAATCTACATCATTGGCTGGTAAATTTACCACGGTAATGTAAAATTGATCTTAATTTTTTTTGTGTGTGCCTTTTTTTTTTTTTTTTTCATAAATCCTCTACCATTCTTCACATATCCCTTCCCTTTCAAAGAAACTTAACAGATCGTTGCCCAATTAACCCTTTGCCACTCGAGCCCATATATTCTCACACTTTATGGCCATAGTAGCAGTTAGTGAATTGAATGACTCAACAAGACTGCATGGCTGCTGCAGTTTTATTTTCATTTTATTTTTGCTTGTTTATTTAATAATTAAAATGATTTATGGGCCTGATTGATGTGGTGGCAGCAGCAGTCCGCCAGAGAGCAATTGGTGTCCATGTTGCACTTATTACTTTGCAGCAACAGCAAGCATAAGAATTGGCAATAATGTAAAATGTTAACCAAATGTAAAAAAATCGAAAACTAAAGCCAAACCCAAAACGAAGTCAAAGCCAAAGAAGGTCGCCCATTGAAGCTGGGAAAACCGAAACCAAATAAAAATATGGTTGGTGGTTAGTAGTCTTCTGCCCGATGTTGCTGCTGTTTCACTTGGTGTTGCTGCTGCGCCTGACAGATTGCAGAGTCGAAAACAGCCCACGGGCCACTTGAAAAGTGCAACTCTAGCCTGAGCTGTTGACTTTGGCTTCCTTGTGGGCTGGCTAATGCATTTATACTCGCACATAGCTGCAACTCTCGGCAAATAACAAGAAATAGCAAAAAATGAGAAAAATGTCAAATTCAATTTTCGCCAGGCGTCAAAGTAAATTACTTTGGAAAATTGCCTTTTGTCAACGCCCACGCCCCCAGGGAAACACGTAAAAAAATATATAAAAAAGGCGGCCGAGGAGCGTGCCCACATCTTGTGTTAATTTGCCTAAGCTTTTAGAGAGTTATGTAATAATTATAAGTATCTGTGATAAACCTTTTTACTTTGTAAATTTTTAAACTTATTTTGGAATTTAAAAGAAAAATGAATTTCTATAAATAAATAAAATCATATTTCATTCCTTAAAAAAACCAATAAAATTTAAAACACAAATTCAAAATTGTCCAAATTTAATTCCTATAAAAAATTATAAAATGTTTTAAGTATTTATTATTTATCATTGGTTGCCTTTATAAGTAAATATATATCAAGTTTGCTTCTTAAAAAACTAGATGACTTCATCCTTAATGATCTAACCCAACTATTGAGTCAGCAACCGAGATAGCTTTTTATATACTATCCAAACTAACAAAAGAACTTGTTTGGTTGCACTTTGGGACGCACGCACTGCCTTTTTAGCTTGGGGATCCCCCGGGGGGCCAAAGATCGCGTAACATTTGACTTTTACTTTCCACGCAAAAACAAGGGAAAAAAACAAAAAACCGTAACAAACTGTAAGCACAAAAACTCGTTTGACAAAGGCAGAGGAACCGCAGATACAACGTTTGTGCAGCAAACAATAAATAAAATATCAGCAAGAATATTTCATATGCCTTCGAACTTCGAAGAGCAAAACGCAGATCGCAGATGGGACAGGCTAAAAAAATATGCAAATTTCATTCCGAAAAACTGGTTCAGTTTGCTGGAAATTCTCAGGGGGTCGACGACAGTACGACAGTTTCTTCTAAGGATGCAGCAACAGTTGTCAAACGATTGTAAGCCCGGCTAAATGTCAACATCACTCGATGTGATTAATGGCGGTTTCTGCTCCGATCAGCTCCGATTTCTAATTACCCCCCAAAACAATGGGCAATTATTCAGGCGGCTTATTAAAGTTAATTCGGTGTAAACGCTTTGATTTCGCCCTATAAGCCTAATGAATTGATTGACTCCGAGCAGCTGCGGCAGCGAGATTATCTGGATTGTTTATGCGACAAAGCAAAGACAATTTATGCAGCCAGGGTGCGAGTGTTATTGTAGCCACTGTCCTCCAGCTAGCGGGTATCCATCAGATACAGATACAACTGCCGTACAACATTCATAGGCTCTGTCTCAGCTGCGCGTGCTAATCGCGATGACTTCATTTCGTGTTGCTCTTGATGTTGCTGCTGTTGCTAGTGTTGCTGCTGCTGTTGCTCATGTTGCTGCTGGGTTTTTGCTGCTGCTGCTGCTGGGTTCGCTGACAGAGGTCAGGCCCATGTATCTCATGGGTAGCATTGATTGCTGGATAGCCGTGTGTTCGCTTGTGGCGGACATGGCCAACTTGTCGAAGGTGTAAATGATTCTTAAGAAAAAACGACACGTATTTTGGGTTCCAAGTGAGGGAGTGGAAGGTAGGAATTTAAGTTTTATCAATACCTCATAAAATCATTTGTTATAATCCTTTTAAAGTATAACCTTTGTTGGAAAGTCTTGAATTTAATTAACTAATTTAATTTAACTAAAAATTTCTAAATAGTTTGAAATATTTAAAAAATATTATTCTTTTATATATAAGAAATATTTGAGAAATTTTGAATAAACAATAAATATGTATTATTGCATTTTTATTTATTAAAACTGTCTATCATTTAATTGAATTATAATTTTATTTTAACTTTAACATTTTTTAACAATAAATAAAAGTTCTCATTTATTTATAATTTTTTTTTTTACAAATAATGCAATCTTCTAAATAAAAATACAAATGCGAAATTGAAACAAACAAGGCAAAATACAAACAAACCAATAAATCTTTTAACTAATGATATTATGTAAATGTTATCTTGATTGGACGTGGGAAATTTAATATCCCAAAAAATAACACAGTTGAATAAAAACCAAAGTATATGGCTGCATTAAATCATCAAAGTAAGTCAAAGCCAGACTCGGTATTTTGAATTATTCAATACTTGCAATCACAATTAAACTGTTTTATGTTCTCACAGTCCAATTAGATATTAAGGCCTTTAATTGCCAGATATCAATCAAAGAAACTAGTTTGAATGCCCAAATTAAACGCAGCAGCCCCACCCTTTTTGGATCCAATCCAAACAAACCCAATATACTTTGCGTTATCCTATAATCGCGGCAAGTCCGACTATTTATCGCGAATCTAAGCGCTTTGGTGTAACAACAAAATGCCATACAAAAAGTCATAAACCCAAATGCAAAATGCTGTTCAACATGAGCAGCAGCCGTCGCAATCGGAATCGCCAAGTCGCAGGAGCAACTCCGCCAGCGGGTGAGCTGCATATGAATCGGAATCTGATCGTGTGGGGTCTTGAGACGGGCTCCGTAGTCGCAGTCGCAGTCTGGCCAAAAAGTACGAGTAATACGGACACACATGGCCAAAGCGGATGAGATACACGCTCTATATGCATCTAGATAGATAGTCAAGCACTGAACAAAATCAGGGGTAATATAGTTTTTAAATGTCTAACAAACATTTTCTCTTCGATCCTTTATATACCCTTGCAGAGAGTATTATTATTTCATATAATATTTATTTATTTATTGAAAGTAACCATTTGTTACAAATGTCAATTAAAACAATCTTCAGCAAGCGTACACTGTCCTAATTTATCGTCCCAGACATGACAACTTGGGCAAGGAAATCGCCTCGCTAAGGAAAGGCCCATCAGAGTGAAAAAAGTTATACAGAGAAGTTTGAAGTTCATTTTTAAAGTTGAAGTCAACGCAGCTTAATATATAGTAAAGTTATGGACAACAAAAACTAATTGATTTTATAAGGTTAATTAAAGTAAAAGTATTAAATTATTTAACGCAAATGTCAAATATTATCCATTTATGCACATCAAAAGAGGAAATCAATCTTACAGTTTTATAATTAGCCGTTACATTATAATACTATTTTCGTTTTTACAGTAGGGGAGAAGGGGGCTCAAATAGTACAAGGGCAAAAATAATATGTGATGAAGAAATTACGAACCAGTTTTCGTCAATGTCAATTTTCTGAAAATCGTCTCATTCTATTCGGGACACTTAATTGGACATTGGTCGCTCGCGAGATTTTTTGAAATATTTATTTTCTGAAGGGAAATTTCATGCCCCATCGCGTTTCTCTTACTAAATATTTTTTTGGTCTTTGATCTTCGTGGTATTTAGCAAAACATCAAACATTCCTTCTGGGGTGGAAATGGGGGTGAGACGGGCTCCGTAGACGCAGTCGCAGTCTGGCCAAAAAGTACGAGTAGTACGGAGACACATGGCCAAAGCGGATGAGATACACGCTCTATATGCATCTAGATAGATAGTCAAGCGGTGGCCTTAAGTGCACTGAACAAAATTAGGAGTAAAGTAACAAACTTATTCTGCAGATACTTTTTATACCATTCCATTATTGAAATAAACCATTTATTAATTTACTTTATTTTCAATTTTCATAAATAAAGTATTACAAACAGCTATTGACAACAATAACCAATTGATTTTAAAAGCTTCCTTAAGCAAAGAAAAATCAATTGTTTAATGCAAATGTCAATATAGACACATGTCCTTACGTATACACCGTCCTAATTTTTTGTTCCAAACATAGCAATCTGGGCATTGAGGTATATTCGCTAAGGAAAGGCCCATCAGAGTAAAAAAAGTTATACAGAGAACTTTAAAGTTCATTTTTAAAGTAGAAGTCGAAGACTATCGTACTTGTTAACGCAGCTTAATATATAGTAAAGCTATGGACAACAAAAACTAATTGATTTTATATGGTTAATTAAAGTAAAAGTTTTAAATTAGTCAACGCAAATGTCAAATATTATCCATTTATGCACATCAAAAGAAAAAATCAATCTTACAGTTTTATAATTAGCCGTTAGATTATAATACTATTTTCGTTTTTACAGTAGGGGAGAAGGGGGCTCAAATAGTACAAGGGCAACAATAGTATGTATTGAAGAAATTACTAACCAATTTCCGTCAATGTAAATTTTCTGAAAGTCGTCTTATTCTATTCGGGACACTTTATTGGACATTGGTCGCTCGCGAGATTTTTTGAAATATTTATTTTCTGAAGGGAAATTTCATGCCCCAACGCGTTTCTCTTACTAAATATTTTTCAAATCAATTCAATCAAATTGCCAAACAATAACCAGTTGATTTTAAAAGCTTACTTAAGCAAAGAAAAATCAATTAGACATTTTTTACCATGATGCGTACACCGTCCTAATTTATCGTCCCAGGCATGACAACTTGGGCAAGGAAACCGCCTCGCTAAGGAAAGGCCCATCAGAGTCAAAAAAGTTATACAGAGAACTTTGTAGTTCATTTTTAACTTATTACTATCCTCATAAATTATATGAGAATCAACCCCATTAATTGTTTTTCTAATTTAATATAATAGTTGCCAGTGCAGTCAGTTCTAAGTGGAAGGCTGGGAGACTGGCCGACTGGCCGACAGACACAATGGCCAAAACGGAGCTGACATTTAGTGCGCAACTGGCGACAACGACTGTCAACACAGGAAAGTAAATGTACCGGTGGCCCCAAAGTTCATAAATCGCGGCCCAGCGTTTTGGAGCTGGCTGATTTCAGTTGGCCGAAAGAGAGAGAGAGCCGCGCGTCGTGTTAACAATATGTTTAGTATTTTTTTGGAGAGCCTTAACGGCTGCGGTGTGCCATAAATCTGAAGATTTTCGGCATTGTCTTCGCTTAGGTTGGGCTAGGTCGCGCGACTTGGCTTAAGATATGGATATGTGGATGTGAATATGTGGATGTTTGTGGACAAAGTGCACTTACCAATCGCTGGGATCACCAGCCGGACTTGAGCGCTGATTGCATTTGCTGCGCATGACCAATTGCAGCCAGTTGGGAACCGGAGGCGTGGGATCAGGCGTATATCTGTCAAATAAAAGGAGGAAAATTAACAAATGATGGGTTAGTAAAGCGTTCGCATTGGAAAAGTATCCTATATGGTATTGCTACCTTGCAAATATTTTATATAAATTATTTGGTTGGGAAATCTTCCTTTGTCACTCAAAAAACTTTATAATTTAATTTAAAGGATTACTTTTATTTATTTAGGATATAAATCAAGATAAAATAATTTGAAATACAGACAGGAGTGCTCTCAGTATGATTTTTAAGATAAAACAACTTTGAAAATTGGATAGAAGTAGTCTTGACTTTGTATGACGATGCTTTTAATTATTAATTTACATTTTATTTGAATTTTAAAATTTTTGAACACGAAATTCTTTTATGAGTCTATACCCTCATTAAAATTAAAAGTTTCCATTAATTTAAAAATCTATTTAAAGGTAATGCAATATTATTTATCCCTTTTAAAATAAATTTGGATTATTTTAATTTATGTAGGATATAAATCAAGTCGAAATGATAAGAAATCAAGACAAAAGTACTGTCAATATGATTTTCAAGAGGAAGCAATCTTGAAAAAGGGATAAAAATTCTCTTGATTTAGCATGAAGAGAACATTTTGTCTTGATTTCAAGAATTCGAGATATAGTAAATTCCAAGAATGTTTTTCCTTAGCTTCACGACATAATATTTTCTTAGAACTAAACATTTGTTTTCTCATTTGTTACACACCTGATAATCGAGTTGCAGTGCTTGGTCTTGGGCACCGCGAAGATCTCGCTGGGCGGGGGCGTCGATTCCATGGCATGGGCCTTCTCCACATCCGCATCCACCTCGGGTATAAGAGCCAGCTCCTCCGGCTCGCCGAGATCCACGTCCAGACTGCTCACCGAGCTCAGGGAGTTCCTCGGACCAGTGTGGTGATATCGCAGGGGACTCGCCGCCGTCGCATCCTCCAGCTCACTGGCATCGAACTTGAGGTTGACTATAAGAGCCCAGAAGGAGGAGAAGGAGAGAGGCACACAGCATATCGAGATACACCGACGGACACACAATGAGAATGGGCACGGAATGGGACGGAAGTACGGATATGGATGCGGATTCGGGCGAGATTCCCATGATCAAAATTTCACGCACAGAGAGAGAGTAAAAATTGTTGATAACGGTATACACAACACCTTTTGCAACATGACAGGTGATATTTTTTTGTGTGGGATGACTTCAACTCACGTTTGTCCAGGGGTCCCAGCTTCTTGGCCAGTCCGTACATCGTCTCCGGTGTCCAGTAGTCCGGAATTCTGGCGAAGATCGAGCCCGCATCTGCCGGCAGCTGGATGCCAAGTTTATGGAGCAGCAATACAAAGGGTTGGTAGAGCATCGTCGTGGACTGTTCGTTGTTCCACTGCACCACCGGTATGGATTTCTGTTTGCAAATGCAATGATAGGCCACCGGTTCCATGATATGATTGCCCTCTGGCACTTTGAGGCCACTCCGCAGGGTCAGCTTGACGAAGCAGCTCTCGATTAGGATCTTCTGCAGCCACACCAGGTGCTGCGACTTGTGCTCCTTGATGATCAGGTCAAGGAGGATCTAGAAAAATAGATATATATTTAGACTTTGGAAAATATTCGGAGACCTATTTTTTATTTGCATGAAAATTTAATTAATTTAATTTAATTAATTTAGAAATCCAAAATAATTTCCAATATTATTTGCAATTTTAAGAAACCTTTTTTTTAATCCCTAAGAATAATTTTAAGTAATCTCACCTGCACATCATCAGAAGGTTTGCCATAGGCGCACTCCTTAATCTCAATTCCCGACTCTGTGGTCGCAGAAGTGGGCGTGGTTAGCAAAGTTCTCTGGTATTCAGCATCCTCGAACTTCATCAAGTCATCGTACTCCAACAAGGTAATAATGTCCTACAAAAAGTAGTCAAATAATTAAAAAAATACCATTTGCGGATGATTTTCGTATATCCTCACCTGTTGCAAAAGTTGTTGGATTATGGAAATTCGAGTTTTCAGCTTGTTGCCATTGTTGCTAAAGAGCTTGACTATTTTTCCCACAATATCGTTGTTCTTCTTGCTCTGCACATAATACCAGTAAAGGGTATCCATTTCCTCCTGCGACCAAGAGCTAATAGAAAATAAATAATAGTTAATTTTATTCAACTTAAATTATATGTTCTACTGACTAAAGCAATTAATTAAAATGTTATTAAAATTTAACTGCAAGTGTAGTGTTAGTTTTATCCAAATGTTGGAAAGGACCTTGGGCTTTTCAATTTCTACATTTTGTTAGTAAGCTCTTTCTTAAGGAAAGTTTTGTTAGTAGGCTTATTAGATCAAATAAAGAATTACATAAATACTTGGTCCCCTAAAAATGAATGAGTAATATTGGAAAAATCACTTGAAGGACATCCAGAGATGAAGATTAAATTAGTGCGACTAAATATTTCTAAAAGAAAACACTAAACGCCGATCCTATATGGTCCATAAATGTTCAAAATGATGTTTATTATTTGTGTTATTCGTATCTTAAATCAATGAACTTTTAAGTTCAACAAAGTATTTGGAAACACCCTATGTGTAGTATTGCTTATATGAAAACGTCTGAAATCCTTACCAAACGGTATGTTCCTGATTGTGTTCTTTGGTCATTTCAGTCAAAGAAGTGGTGGGAATGGTCAGAGGTGACTTTGGAGGGGTGTTCATGAATTTGTGAATGACATACTCGATGAGATCGGACCAGTCCTGCAAAAAAACCAAATAAATTATGATATAAAGAAAATTATTTTCCAATAAATATAACTTACATCACACAGCTCATAGTCTGCCTCCCAAATTCTGGAATAGGTCTTTAGGATAATCGGTTGGAATAGCACACCAATCTGACCCAGATCACCCCCTATGTGATGCATCATGGTGAAGATGCAGTCGTTGACGAACTCTCCATTGTTGTTAAAGTCCTCCAAGAGGATGCCGTAATAGTGCATTACCTCCAAAGTGGCAAACCTTTAAATTAAATATTGTGATTACATTTTTAAAAATTATCTTTTAAAGTTAAATCTCACTGTGTAATGTGTTCTGAAAGGCGAATTGATTGACCTCCTTCAACTTTGGCCGCATTGTCCAAAATCAGCAGAAGTATGTGATTGGTCACCACTAAATCCTGGAGATACTGTTTGGAATGGATGCTGGGATTGAAGCGCCTTAGCAGCAGCACAAAGAGACATCGCAGATCGGACATTTCGCTGATCTGCAGCTGGAGTTGCCTCAAGTGCTCCCGGTCGTCCTCATTTAGATGGGTAACTTTATTGTACGTATCGATGGCCTGCAGGAACTCCCGGATGGCCGTCACCACCAAGTGCATCCGCCTCAAATAAGGCTTCAGATCGCTGCCCTCCTGTCTAGCGTTGAGTTCCAGTTGCTCACAGAGGGACACTCCCTCGTAGGTCAAGTAGCTCAGCACATCGTAGGTGAGTATGGTGTCGATGTGCTCCATGTCCAACTCCAATTGGGCGGCGAACTTCAGGAAGTAGGTGACCAGCCAGAAAAAGTGAGACGTATCTATGGGCACCTTCTAAATAAAAAATAAATAAAATTAGAAAAATTGTCTTTACTAAAATAATATGAGGAAAATAAAATATAATTTTTAGAACAAAATACTTTGCCGGGAAATTTGATTTATCTACTTTTAACTTTAAGGATTTAAAAATTGTTGTAATGTCTCATTTATATTTCTTCTTATCTACTTTTAATTTTATAGATTTAAGGATTTTTTAAGCAGTCATCTATAAATTGTTCTGAGTATGAAAAAAAAAAATAATAATAGCAAACCATTAAATTAAAATGATTTTTATGATTTCACGTTTTAAAAATTAAGTTTTAAAAGTTTTTTTTGATCAATTTCACCTTGTTCTGTCTCATTTCATTATATTTTGGCCATTAAAAAAATGTTGTAAAACCCAAATTAGGAAATTTATAAAATTTTCTTTAGTAAAATTCACCTACCGCATTGGAAAGCAGTTGCATGTGGAGCTCCTCCACCAGATAGCTATAGCCCTTGAGGAGAAAATCCACGGTGAATTCCTTTAACAGATTGGAAATATCATCGTCAGTGGGTGTGTGCTGAACCAGGCCCTTCATATTGATGCTGTTTTATAGAATTTAAGATTATAGATATATAATAAATTATATGGTTTTTTCCTAGAACTTACAGACTACTCTTGCTGCGCTTGACCAACTTTTTGCGTCTCAGCTCTTTCTTATCCATAAGTGACATAATGGTGCGAGGTTTATTCCTTGGTTTCGTGTTACACGGAGGCTTCTGGTGCTGCGGCTTGCCCTGCGGCCCGTCGTCATCGTTGCTGGAGGTGGAAATGGACTCCTGGTTCTCCACCTGCGTTCCATAACCGCAATCCGATAGCTCCGATTGCGACGAGGGGCACTCCCTCTTCTGCGGGCAACACTTTCCCTTGGTCAGCTGAAGTTGGCCCGCGTGGGGAGACTTCTGGCCAAGCTTAACGGCCGACACGTGGGACTTGTAAGACGATTCGTTGAACTGGTGCATTTGAGCTTGGGCCGAGGTGCAGGCCCGGACGGGCAGCGGCGGTGGCGGCTTGAAGGGCTCGTTTCCCAGGCAGCCAGGACTGGCAGGACTGGCCGATGGGGTGGTAGTGTTGTTGACCTTGTCAGCTGGTTGTTGGGTTAAGTTTAGGGGCTCCGAGGACTCGCCCAGTCGCAGGTATTCCCCTTCCTCCACTTCGTCCTGAGAAAAATAATTAGGAAATTTAAAAAGGATTAAAATAAATAAATTTAAGTAAGATTTAAATAAATGAAATTAAATAAGATTTCAATAACCACATTTAAACAAGATTTAAATAAATAAATTTAAATAAAAAACTTTTAAAATTAAAAAAAAATTTCATTAATAAGTTTTGGTGTTATTGAAAATACTGTTATAAGAATATAAGAGCTTGATAAAATATATATCAATAATTAACTGTTGATATTTTTTCAAGCTCTAATTGCTATATTTGAAAATTTTGACAGTTTGTTATTTATCAATGTCTATTTGTGTTTTTTCTCATCGAATAAACTTTGTCAAAATATCGAAAATATCGAAAATGACCAATGTTATTTTCAATAACTAATTCAATAATAATAAATGGTGGTCAGAGGAGATAATCTATAAAAAATATCAAAATAATTACAAAGTTTAAATTTAATTTGAGAATTTAAAATATTTAATCTAGCTAAGATATCAAGTCAAATAACCCACCTCATCTTCATTCTCATCGCCCTCTTCGTCCCGCTGGATTTGGATTCGCTGCTGCTCCTCGTACTCCCCATCGTCCATGGACTCCCCGGTGGGCTGCGATTGCTCCGGGGATCCGGGCTGTTCACTCCCAGTCATATCGCTGGCCTCCTCGAAGCCATCTGCTTTATCGGCCGGCACCCTGGCCATGGCATTCTGGTACTCCTGGCCCTTGCGACTCACCTCCTGCAAGGTGGCCGCCGTTCCCTCCCGCAGCATTCCATTGCCCCTTCCATTGCTCCCGTTGTCCGAGGAATCCGAGGTGGGATCCGAGGTCAGCATGGGGCTGGAATCGCCACTGCCCTGCTTCGGGGGCGAGGTATTACTCTCGTTATCCTCAGAACTCTCCGACAGAGAGGCTTCGAACCAGAGATTGAGCAACTTCTGCAGCGTGCTCACATGCTGATCCTTGTAGATCAGAGCGATCAGCTGCACCATGGTCACTCCCCAAAAGGCTCTCTGCGGACAGGTCATCAGATAGAGGAGTAATTTATCGATACTCTGGATGAACAGGTTCCATAGAATAGTATTCTGCATAGAGATTCCATGGGGCATCGACTGCATCATGGGCATAACGCAATGGGCATGGGTCTCCGGAATGTGAAGGATGTTCCTCAGCAGCAGCAAACAATTATTGATCTGATCGCATTTGTGCGGTGAGAGCTTGGGATCCGATTCCAGGATGTGCTTCATGTACTCCACCACGCTCTTGGTGCTCCTCGCCTCGGTGAAGGCCTCCTTGCTGGTGTAGAGCAGCTTGTTCAGCTCGAAGATGGTGTGGCGACCCACATCCGTGCGGTACATCACGTCCACGGAGAACAGGCACTCCACCGGCACCGTCAGGTTGACCAGGATCCGGATCACCGACTCCAGGACCGCATCGTCCTTGGCATTTTCCAGGAGCGGTATCAAATCGGACCTCACATTCTGGCCAAATCCAATGGCCCGGCGGAAGGTGCGAAGCGTTTGGTCCTCATAGGTTAGTTTGTTGTTAATCTCCTCTAGAATGGCTAAAAAAATTCGAAATATATTTAATTTAATATCCAAGACATAAAGAAATAATTTAAATAAAAATAGTTCACAGTTAATATTGATTTATTTATCTAGTAAACGGTTATACTTTAAATTTGTTTATTGCATTTTGTTGTGTTTTAATTTAATAATAAATATAATTTTCTAAATTATTTTTGTTTTTTGAACATCTTTGATATTTCAAATAGGTGGTTAAATAATATAACCATTTCAATTTAATTAACTTACCCAATGCATTTGGGTTGACCACATAGGTGTCTCCTTCTAGACAACCCAAAGAGGAGAAAGCGCTGTACAACTGCGGAGTTGCTAGTAACCAGTCCATAACCGATTTTACTCTTTAAAGTTCTGATTGTTCAAGATGTGATGCTCGAGCCTACCTCTGCTCATTGTCGATGGCAATCATTGATTTACCTCTTTCAAGTTTACCCACAAACTGTAAAAAAAAATAATTATTAAATATTTTATTATGTTATTAATAATGTTAATAACAATTATAATTATTATTCATTAGAATTAATCATTACTTATTCAAATGTTTTATAAATGAAAAGCCAACTTTTAAAAATTTAAATAATTTTTTTAATTACTCTAAAATATTGTTATGATGAAATAAAAAAAAAAGTTGTACTAAAAATAATATAGTTTATAATTAGTAAAACTTTTTTTTATTTCATCATAATTGCTCCATTATGTGCAAAATATTTTAAAATAATTTAACCGTGTGCTCTATTTGTAAACAAAAATAAGTTCACCTTAATACATAGTTACATACTTACCAATATTTAAAACAATTATCTAAAAATAATAAAAGGTCAATTGTCTTTTGTCTAAGTCAATAAATAGAACACCTCAAGCCAAAGAGGTTAAGGTTTCTGTTTAAAAATAGATTAATCCTCTTAATTATTAATTGTCGGTCAGCGGCATTATACAACCGCAAATGGCACACATCACCGGGCTCCAAAAATAAATGCAGGCATGTGACCATCAAGGGCGCAGTCAATGCAATGTGCTGCAATTGCCGCCACTCGGGGATGAAACCCGAATCAACTCCCATTTAAATCCGACGCACATCACCTACTACACGTGCCTAAACGGCGTGTTCCCCATTTACCACCCGTTGTGAATCAAATCAAGAAAAAATGCCTGCTAGACGAGCCCCGAAAATTCCAGGAAGCCACACTTAACAGAAAGAGAGGCAGGGAAAAAAAGAAAGTGGGTTAGACGGGCCATTGCCATTCCAATACAAAAGGGGGTGGACCCATCCCAACCTTCAACCATTCACATAACCAGGCAAATCCTCAACAGGCGACTGCGGCACCCGGTGGCCGCATGTGACTCACTTGCAGACATTCATCGGCCCAGAATGATTGTGTAAACAACACAGTTGGAGGACAAAGCCAGTGGATCTGGACTAAGGGATTGTGGACTTTGGATTCTGGAGGCACAAAGGCTGCATTCACATAGGAAGCCCCCCGTGGCGATATTTATAGGACATGAATCGGGATGCAGGAAGGCGCAGTGGGTTACCGGTCTTTCTCTATGGCTTCCAGGTTGCTGACTTTGAATGTTTTGCGCGCTATATTTGTCGACAAAAGCGATTGCAGTTCAACTGCATTCGTATTTCGTTGCCCTCTTTGGGGCGAACACGTTAATTGGCACGTTTAATGGCCAAGAACAGAAAATAGGCAATGAAAATAATATTCAAAATAAGAAATTTAATAAATTAATTCCCAATGAAATAAAATATCAAATAGATTTTTGATATTAAATGTTATGGAAATAGTTCAAAGTTTCACATAATAAAAATAATAAAAAACGTACATTTTTGATATTTAATATTTGGGTAAAATGTTTTTAGTTTACTTTAATATTTACCTCTGCATATGATAGACTTTGTTTTGTGAGTAATTTTAACCTCATTTAAATAAAAATTAATATCAGGTCTTTTTTGAATATTATTAATACGATTTATTAAAAAGTGAGAAAATAAATAGTTTTATTTTTTAAACTAAAAAATTATTTAAAGCAATGAATTAAATCTGGCAAAAAATCTGTAGGATAAAAATACATTTAATATTTTCATAATTTTTAAATCAATATCTTTACAACTTAAGCAATAATCATACCATACCCTATACATCTATGCATCTTTCGTGGACTTATACCAACCCCAATACCATTTCCGCTGACTGGTTATGAAATCAAAGACACAACTTACATAAAACGCAAGGCGAGAACTACAAAATGATATGTGCATTTTTTTCCAGAGAGTGAGAACATTTTTCATTCTTTCGCAAAAAGGAAATTCATTGAGGCGAACTCAAATTTGCATTTGAAACGGAAAGCGAAGATATACCTCAAAAAAATATTTAAAAAATTCCATTTGCAATGCCAATAAATCTGAGGCTCTGAGGGTCGTTGAAATCCTAGATAAACTGATTGCAAAAACACACACAGCATCTAAGTCCTATGAGTAAATCTGTCAGTTGCATGTTTTCATGCGGAAAATTCCCGGAATTATTTTTTGCTAGCCTGTCATCGACAGAAAATCCGTGGAAGGCCAAGCCTCTTTTTTCCACTTCAATGAGGTTGGTTTACATAAGAGATCTTCTAAATTGCCTCTTAGACTGTTGTTCCTTTTAAATTAGAGTTTAAATCTGTTTTAATAGAATTTAAAGTTTCTTTAAGCTTTAATTTTTTAAATATTGCGCCGCTGAAAGCTGTATTTTTCAAGAGCTTTTTTAAAGCGTCTAATTTTTAGTAGGGTCAATATAAATATACCTGTCTTAGGTCGGGTTTTATTTCTAAATTGCCTACTAAATCGTTTGTTTACTTACCAATTGGGGGTGTTTAATTCAGTTGTTTAATATTAATACGTGGTTTTCCTAGCTATCAACAATTTAAGTTAATTGTTTTGTTTATAAATGTTTTGTGAGCTTTTTTAAGCACTTGTTGGGTTTCTTTGTGGACTAGATCGTGTTCTAGTTTTAATGTTTTTTTATATTCACTGTGGAAATATATTTTTCTTCAATATCTGAAAGTAGTTTTAAAAATGGTTGATATTATTTTTTTTTGTTTTTTAGGAGTTAAGACACTCATGTGAATTTGTTGTAATGTTCACATGTTTATTTTACACTTTGTGAACTTTGCTTATCTGCCAGCACTGCACAAAAAAATTCTTTACACTTTGTTTGCATGTCTAGACTTATGTAAAATGCAACTACAATAACAATTAATTTGCACTTTTTTCGATTGCAATCTAGGCAAGACACTCAGAGAAATGGCAGTGAGTAAGCACTCTCTCAAATACTGTAGAATTCGAGTCAGAATGACTATTTTGTTTGCACAGTTTCTCATTTAAATTTATTGTTATATATATTTTGTTAGAAACAATTACGCGATTTAAGATAATATTATATTAATAAATGTATTGTTTTATGTATTGTTTATTTTAGAGATATTTATTTTATAGATAAATTTCGACCCGCTCAACGAACCGCTTACTTGGAACGCACAATGCTGAATGCGATCTGAGTTTTCGCTCGCTCACCGAAGTCAGATACAAAATGCAGCTCACAGATACACACACACACAGCGAGCGAGCCACCCACTCACACAGAGCCACGTTTGTGTGACTGGACTGAGAGAGGCGAGTCGAAAGCTCTCGGGGAACCCGACTCACGTGTATTCGCAACGTGCCGCACGTTTATTTGCCAACCGCCGGTGGCGAATGTTCGATAACCATGAATAACCAGCGCCGGAAAATACGGAGAACACTCTGGGAGCAACAGCAACAGTCAGAGCTATTCAGTGCACTCGAAAAAAAAGGTGGAGTCATTTGGGAAATTCTTAAAAAAAAATGTTTGTAAGAAATTTTACAAATAGCTTCTAACTATTTTAAAGAGTGTGAAAAAAATTATAATATTTTAAGAAATTATATCATTTTATTTAATTTTTAAAGAGTAATGAAATTATTGTAGTGGTAAAAAATTAAGTGTATGTAATTCTGTGATCAAAGAATTTTAAATTTATTATTATTTATATCCTAGGAAGTTTTTCAACATTGTTTTACATTTTCATACAATTTTTTCCAATAAAAATGTAACTAAATCAAATAATTTTTTTCAGTGCATTGCTAAACGTTTTTACCCAGCTGAATTTCGCCTTCAATCGACTCGGTCGTAGGCTTCGTCAGGGTGACTTTGTTCGGCTCTGAGTGCCGCAGATGATCTGTTGAATAATCCTTTTGGAAACGGAATCAACAATTGGTTGCTGGTTGCACGGGCACCCGCGGCGTATACGCATTGTTCTTATTGCACATACATATACTACGGGGAATTTTCGAATATATATTTACTTGGCGGCTTTTCTCGGCACGTCGTCACCGAATCGCTGCTGCAAATCAACTGGAAACGGTGGTTTCGAGCGCACTTTTTCCAGCCGACAGTCGATAGGAATGAATAGTGGCACACTCTCGAGTCACAAAGTCACTCACTCGCAATAAAGGCCATCCGATTTGGTCAAAATGTTATTCAACAGGTTCCTGGAGTGCAGGGTATTATTTCTTTCACTACAGATAAAGATTATTCTCAAAAAATAATTTATTTATATTTAAAGTCATTATAATGAATTTTATCTTTTCATTGTATTTTTTAAGGCAAATATATTTTTTTTAATTCTTTTTTTAAATAAATAAATAGCCAGAAAAATCTGAAGTGGGAGATAACGCAATTTACGTTAAGGGATTATTTATAAGCTTATATTTTCTAAGTATTCATAAAAATCCCAGTGACAACGCTCTAATCTATCTATTAAATCTATTACTGTAGCTTCATTAGACATTTTTAAAATTAAAAACAATAAAAAAGGAAAGTGACAGTGACGAAACATCATTGTAATTAGCCCACTTCAGTCGAGCAGACCAAAACTTTCCAGTAAAAGCAACGTAAGTTGTGCGATCACCTTGCCAATGCCAAGGCTATGTAAGTACATGCATCTAGATTATGCAACGCCCAATGTTAATTTTCTTCCAACTAATTTATCACTACAGCAAACACAATAAAGGGTAGGGGAGTCCGGTCAACAGAAGTGTTCATGCTGCCTACAAAGTTGTCCCGACGACGCGTCGTATACGTAATGCAAGTAATTGCGTATACGCCGCATGTAACACATGAACGGAGCCCAGCAACGATAATAGCTGGCCGATAAGGCCCCCAAATGAAAGGCGAAACAATTAGAGATGCTGTGTAGGGTCCCCTTCCGAGATCCCAAAGCCCGAAGGACCCCTTCGCGTGCTCAGACATTCGAACATCCTTTTAACGTGGCCAACTGGCCAACTCATTTCGAACAACGCGACATGCGCCGGCAGAGTGTGCGAAAGGCAGCAGGGTCGCGTGTCTGGCAAGTTGGCTGTGTGCTGGCAACGTGTGGGAATCCTCCCGTCCAAAGGGCACATTGTGAAATGATCTGTGCGGAATTATTGGCCACATTTAGCCAGATGCTTCAAGGTATTTTTGAATAATATGTCGGAGATAATTTGAGTATTTCTTTGTTGTATAAAATATGAAAATGGATTTATTTCTTAATTTAATTTAAGTAAGGTAACAAATAGGAAATACAATTCCTCACTGTTTTAAAAATTTGAAAACTTTAAAAATTATTCATTTTTTATTTTAATTTTGTATTTTAGCAATGCAAAAATTTTCTTCAAATATTGATTTTATGTATTTATTATTATATTAGTTTTAAATTATAAGTAAATAATGAATGAGTGTTAGTTTTTTTTTTAAGTAACCAAACAATTTCGATAAATAAATGTTATTTACATCATTGGATTTTTATTTAATTTTTTTAAAAAGTTTTTATTTTAATAAAATCATACGTTTAAAACAGTTTATTTAGCAAAGAAATTTTCAAATAAAATGGACAACTAAACTAACCAATATCTCCCATTAGAACATACTTATTTTGTACATTTTTTCAAAAACTAGTTTATTGTTATGGTCTTGCCAAATTAAGTTTTTTTAAGGATTTTGATTAAAGCTCAAGTTTAACAGTTTAAGTTTTTGTATATATTGATTAAAGAAAATAAATAGTTTAACCAATTTGCACATGTATAAAAACATAATGATTTTTTGCGAAAAATGGACCAAAATAAAAATGTTCTGGTTCAAATGCCAATTTAATTACGATCTCAGCGAGATATCGCATTACATATTTGGACCATTATTTTCATTGTTTCAATCAAAATACTGATTAATTTGCGCTGAGCAAATGCTCTGACTTTTTGATAAAAAAATGTTTTTTGCTGTAACTTTTCTTAGGATGACACCACATCTGAAATTCTCAGTGATTTGTACAGCTAATAACCCAAATATATTAAATTATGAGACATTTTTTAATTTTCTATTTTATAGTAAGGGTCTTGCCAAATGAAGTTTATTTGAATAATTTGAACATTTAAACACCGCTGTGCTCCTTGATCCAATCCCGGGCGAAACTCACTCTGGAGTAGACACCCGGATAGTCGGGCTTAGCGCAGCCGTAGCCCCAACTGACCACGCCCACCAGTTCGCCCGATTCGCTGACCATGGGACCTCCGGAATCGCCTTGGCAGGCATCCTTTCCGCCCTCGAGGAATCCCGCACAGATCATGCGCTCAGTTACTCCGCCATATTGCTTGTACTTCTCGCTGCAGAGCTCCTGGTTGACCAGGGGCACCTCCACCTGGCGCAGCCACTCCCGGGATTCCAGCAGATTCTGGGTATTCCCCCATCCACTCACAAAGCAGGTCTCCCCATCCATGAATTTCATTTGAGGCTCCGGCAGCTTAATGGCCTTTTTGGTCTCGTCGAATTTAATGGGATGCGCCAGCTGGAGGAGGGAAAAATCGTAGTCCACATTGGTGTAGTTGAACTGGGAGTGCTGGACGATCTTCTGGACGCGCAGCAGTTGGCCACTGCGAGCAAATTCACTGGTTCCCAGGCGGATTTTCAAGCGATCCGCGGTTTTGCCACTAAAAAATGTTATAATTAATTAATTTCTTTAAAAAAAATTTTTTTATTAATTTTTAACCTATTATTTCTTTGAAAAAAATTGTTTTTTTTTTAAATTTGTATCCTACTACTATTTTGTCCACTAAAAAATATTATAATAAAATAAGTTATTCAAAAGAAAAAAATGGTTTTTTAATTTTAAACCTACTACTATTTTTTCCACTAAAAAATATTATAATTAATTGATTTCTTCAAAAGAAAATTTGTTTTTTTTTTATTTTAAACCTACTTATATTTTTTTTAATCTTTAACTTACTAAGTACAATGGGCAGCAGTTAAAATCCACTCCTCCGAAATTATTGAACCACCACAAATGTGGGACGAAGTTTGCAGCGAAACCTGATGGGGTGCATCGGTGATATTTATGCGATGACCACCCACAATTCGACCATCCAAGCGGGGGGAAAATATCCAGGATTTTTCCAATATATTCCTGAGAGATCTCTGTCTCTTAACCGGCTGTGGAATTAAGCAAACACCTGCCAGCACCAACAGGCTGCACTGGAGAACTAAAAACAAGCGAAGGGCCAACATGATTGTTCCACAAGAAAGCCAAGTCTACTAATTCTTAAAAGAAAGCTAAGCCTTATATAGGTATTCTCTGCACTTTGTTCTTTTCTTGGATTAGCGATAGCCACCCACTGGGCAGAAGACCTGCTGGGAAAGCACAGTGAAGCTTATCAGCTAAGCGACAGACTAAATACTTGAAATACATCTAGTTTTAGGGTGGCTTTGGCTACACTCTCACTTATCTTTAATTACAAAGGTATTTAATTGGGTCACCTGCTTTTTCTACAATGTTTCAAGTTCATTTGAGGCATACATAAGTTTAACTTTTACTTGGTTCAAGCACAAGCGTCTCACAGTACATTATAATAGCCAAGAGTTTGGTTTTACAGGGATTCAATTTCATTCTATGAATAAATTAATTGTTCTCGTGATGCTGTTCGATTTAATCCACCACATAGATAAGGTTTCTGCCCACCTCCGTCAGTTTGCCAGCCTGTTCCAGGCTCACCTTCTTGGCCGCCACATCCAGAACGAAGTTGCCCTCGCCTAGCACAGTTTTTCCCGCCTTGTAGTCCTCAAAGTTGGGGATCTTCCGGGGACCCAGAACGGGATCCTCAAAGCGCCAGATTTTTAGGTTGGCCGTATCCGTTTTCAGGCCAATGATCTTGGAAAGCTTTTCGCGCAGCGATTGCACAGTGTCGCCTTCGGAAATTACAGTGTTGACTTGAAACAGAGACGAACGCTCGATGGGATTCGTCAGCTCCACGCTGACATTGGGAGCCACTGAGAAGCTGATAAAGGGCGAGCCAGGACGAACTTCCTCACGGGTTTTCTCGGGCGCTGAGGGGTCGTCGGTGTACTTGATTTCCAAGACATCCAGCTGAAATAATAATAAACATTAAAGGGAGGATTATAATGAAATAAATAAGAAGCACTTACATCTAGTGTATTTTTCAGGTACTCCAGATTGCTGATCAACACTTGGCGCTCGTCGAACTCCAAGGTGACGGCCAGGGCAGCCACGCCCTTGCCCGACTCCACCTTCTCGCGAATCATCTGGGCAAAGGGCATCACGCGCTTCATGAACTTCTTCAGCTCAGCTTTCTGTTGCAGCGTGGCAGCGATGATTTTGTTATCCGGCAGGGATTGCTTCTGGTTAAACAGCTCCTTCATGGTGTCCAAAACGCAGCATTGCCAGGGAGGATAGGTCTTGGCCACCCAAACTAGGCCGCGATTCGGTTTCTCTGGTTGAGAAGCAGCAGCTGACTTATCCTTTCCCGCCTTACCTTTTACCTGAAGCAGATTCTTCAAGTTCAAACGGAACGAATGAGCGGCCTCCATGAGATACTCGGAGCACAGAATGTCCACCTCGTTGATGGCTCCCACTTCGGGCCAGCGAGCATGGACAATGGACTCCTTGTTGCCCAGCAAACCCCACACATGCTCCGCCATGTGCGGGCAAATGGGGGAAACCAGGAGAGCCTGCCGGCGGATGAACTCCAGCACCAGATCCTCGTGCATTCCCTGGGCGCCACAGAGCTCCCTGTACTTATCTCTGGCCAACTGGAGCTCGTAGAAGCCACTGCGCAGCGCCTCCTTGAACAACATCTTGCGGTAGTTATCATCCGTTTGCTGCGTCTTCAAATTCAGTTCACTGAGGAAGACCTGATCGTTGAAGGTTTTATCCTTGCCCTTTCGCAGACTGCTCCTGTTGTCCAGCTGCTCCTTGACCCACTCAATAAACGTGTACAGCCGCAGGATGCCCGCATCCGCGGTGCTTTCCACAAAGTTAGCATCCTCCACACTGTCGCCGGCATCGGCGAGGCAAAGACGCATGCCATCGGCGGAGAACTTGTCCACCGCTTCGGTTAGAGTCAGGAAATTACCATCCGACTTGGACATCTTGGCCGAGTTGAGCAAAAGGTGACCATTGACTCTCATTCCCTTGGGCCACTTGTTCTCGTCGTTTGGCCAAATGGCAGCGTGATTGTAGAGGCAGAAGGTCAAGTGGTTCTGGATGAGATCCTTGCCAGAGACGCGCAGATCCATGGGATACCAGTACTCGAACTCGCGACGCAGAACGGCCAGGTGTTCTTGCTTGATGGCTGTTTTCTTGGGCAGCGGGGTTTCCTTGAAGAAGATGTAGTCCCAGATTTCAGCCGTCATATCGGCGGGTTTAATGCCAAAGGGACCTGGTTTCTCGCCACGGAAGGTTCCTCCCTGCAGCAGATGAACCACCGTGTAGAAGGCCATGTAGATGGTGGAGTCCGAGAGCGATTCAATCAGCCACTTGTCGTCCCATGGCAGCTTGGTTCCCAAACCATAGGTCCTCGAGCAGGCGTACTCGTGCAGCCAATTCAGACAGGCCTCGAAATTGTTGCGCGCCTCCTCGTGGAAGGTCTCCATGTCCTGCAGGATCTTGGTGGCCTGCGCCTGCCAAACGGGTTCGCCGTAGTTGAGATACCACTGGTTGCATAGGGCCACCACGCACTCATCCGCCGAACGCGACATGATGGTCTTTTCCGGTTCGTAGTAGACATCCGCTTCGTTGGCATCCACCAGTCGCTTTTGCAGATCCTTCTTCACATCCTGAATCTTGCGGCCGGCAAATTCCCCCACCAACATCACGCCATCATAGAAACCTAGGGTATAAAATACATATTTAGCAAGAGGAACTCTTAATAGGGTAGGAATTTCTCAACTGGACGGGTAAACTAAGTTGTTAATGAGATGGACAATCTTGGATAGTTGAGCTGATTATATAGGATGAAGAAGACTTCCAAGACCGCGATACGGAATTTCAAATAATTAAAATTCATACTTTTTGGTCAACAAAAAAGTTAAGAAAATATTTTTCTAATTCCCCTAGTACACATTTATAAACGTGTACAGTTTAAGAACATTTTTCAAGTTCTTAACTTCAAAAATTCATAGCGCCCCTAAATGGACACCAAACAAGAGAGAACGCTATTGTCGGGTTGTTGTCCCGACTATCTAATACCCGTCACTCAGCTAAAGGGAGTGCGAACGCTGTGTCGGGTTGGTGTCCCGACTAATAATCGTAACTCAGCTAAAGGGAGTGCGAGGGAGATAGATATATAATTTTTGATTGCGTATAACTTTTTAATGAATGGTCCGATTTGAAAAATGTCTTCTACATTTCGATAGGTATAAATATACACAACAAAATTGCATTTATACTTTTCGGAAATCTTTAAAGATGTGGGCGCAGGACCCATTTTAAAATCGTTAGTGGGCGATTGTGGGCGTTAGAGGGGGCGTGGCGCTCGGCTAAAATAAACTTGCGCTGCGTAGGAATAATATAATATAAAAGAATATGCGTGGAAAATCTCAACCTTCTAGCTTTTGTAGTTTCTGAGATCTCAGCGTTCATACAGACGGACAGACGGACATGGCTAGATCGACTCGGCTAGTGACCCTGATCAAGAATATATATACTTTATGGGGTCGGAAAGGCTTCCTTCTAGCTGTTACATACTTTTGCACGAATCTAGTATACCCTTTTACTCTACGAGTAACGGGTATAAAAATTTCAAAATAAGCAGGCAAACTATACGAACTACCCAAGTTTGAAGAAAATCCATTATTTCATATGCGCAGTTGAGAAATTCTTACCAAATAACTTATTTAGTGATAATTACTCTTGAGATAGCACATCTCCTTGGCTTCGGCCAACTTGTCCTTGTCGTTTTGCGACTGAATCTTCAGGGTCTCATAGGCATGAACAGCACTCAGTTTGCCCAAAGTGGGCACTTCTATGATAGGAATGGGTTCATACGGGAGCACCATCTCATCTTTGAGTCCATACTTCTGGCGGAAGGCCTCCTTCTTCTGCAGATCCACCAGAGCGGCATAATCATCGGGGGAATCGGAGGGCACCGAGGTGACCACTCCCGTGCCCTTGTCCTCCTTGATGCTCAGCATGGGCAGCGTGTAGACCACTTTGTGCGGGGTAAGGGGAGCTGAAAGGGCTACGCCCAGCAGATCCTGGCCAGTCAACTCCGCTAGAACCTTAATATCTCCCTCGACGGGCGTGAATCCCTGATAGGTCATGTTCCTGGCCGCCCGGCGCGTGCTGATCCACACCTCGTTGTTCTTGCTCGTCTGCCAGGCGATGTACTTGATGTCCGGGTGCAGCCAGCAGTTGGTCTGCCCGTACATCGTCTCCGGACGCAATGTGGCGGCCACTAGGTAAATGGGTTGCTTCAGGGAGCTAGGAGATTAAAATAGAAATTGTAGTGAAAGAATGCAATAAGTAATAGAGCCCTGCGTGAATCATTCAATTTTTGTTTTATCATAGTATGCCAGGAAATTTCTGATTTGTTTAATTCAATTCTATGTGAAATAAATTGAATGTTTTTCTAATTCATTTCTAATTGAATAAATGAATGAATGAATAATTTTTATGAATTTTCCAGATTTTTTTTGTGCTTTCTTTTAAGAACAAAAAGTGGGCAATTTTTAACAAAAAAATGTTAACTGCTTAGTAAATAAAATTTAGGCAGATTTAATCACAAAATTATTGGCCTTTCTTCTTCAAAATAAATTATCGTTTGAATTATTTCGGAATTCATGCCATTTAAATTCATTAAATTCTATTAAACTTAAAATTTAAATTCATTCAATTCTATTAAACTCAAAATTCAACTTCATTCAATTCTATTAAACTCAAAATTCTAATGCATTCATTGATATAAAACAAAAAATTCAAAATAATTCATAGAATCCATTCATTACTTATTAAGTAATCCCTAACCCACCTCAAAGCCTTGGGCTTTTCCAGAACCTTCATCTTGATGAGCGTGTACTCCTGGGGACCCACTCCCTCGCCCGAGGAGCGATCGTGGTCCATGCACGGCTGTCCATCCTTCGGCGAGTAGATGGTGTATCTTTTGCCATACATAATCTTTCCGCGTTCCTTCAAATGATTAAATTGCCAGCGCACAAAGGAATCGAAGTAGGGATTCGCATCCGTGGTGATGAAGGTGCGTCGCCAGTCGATGTGCACGCCGATCCGCTTGAGATCCTGCACCGCCAGCGGTGGGAAGTAGTTTAGCCAGTGTTCGGCATTAGCGAAATCCTTGATTTCCTCATCCTGGAGGCCCAAACTCTGCATGATCTGCCACTGGTACTTGGCCGCTCCCGTTTTGGCCACCGCCTTGCTCTTCTTGCCCTTGGATTTGTCTTTGGGGATCTCAGATGTAGAGGTTTCAGTGGGGGAAGGAGCAACCTCCTGATTGTCAGGAAACTTGGGTGGATAGCCAAAGTCCTGGATCTCCCGGGTCAGCTTATCTGCACACGCTTTAATGGGCATTCCGGTGCAGTGGAAGCCAAAGGGCCACAGGACGCGGCGTCCCTTGAGGCGATGATACCTCACCGAGTACTCCGCCTTGGACAGCGAGAAGGTGTGACCCAAATGGAGGCGCCCGTTCATGTAGGGAAAGGGAAAGGTCACAAAGAACTTCTCCGCCTGGCGCTTCTTAGGCGCCGTTGGGGCATCCGACTCGTGGACGCGCTCCTTCTCCCAGCGCTGCTGCACCTCCTGCTCGATCCGCTGCAGATACTCCACCTTAAAGGTGCCCTTGCGCTCGCTGGTGGCCTGTTTTTTGGATTGGATTACAAATTAGCATAGAATTTGCAACTGGAATTGCATCAGCCGGCTTTGCATCCGTGGCATTTCCGGTGATTTACGGAGAAAGGGGGGAAAGCGGAACCCCTCCCCCCTCTAGTACCCACCATTTAAGATTTCTTACGCTCCCGACAATTGTTTAAAACAAATATTTAATTCAAATCAGCGCTTAAAAAATCTAAACGCACTGCAACGTGTTTATAAAAAAACAGGGTGTCTTCTGCGCCTGGAATTTCGCTGCCGCTCTAATCACCCTGTGGCGGCAGTGGTGACCGCTTAGCTGTTTTCACGCCAAATCTGGCTATTCAGTGGTGCCAATTAAGCTGTTTTCTCGCCAAATCTAGTGTGACATTAATTTTTCGAGTAAAATTTTTAAGTAAAATTTAATTCGAAATTCTAAAATGTTAAAGAAAGGTATACTCCAGAAAAATTAACGAATCTCATTTTCAGATCGTTCCTTTGGCAGCTATATATCTCGTAACATTATCTTCGAAAGTAAAAAATATTAAAACAAAATATATTCCCAAGTGTAGAAGGTAATATGTCAAAGAAAACCAAAGTTAATTTTTTTGTTTTTTTTTTATTTTTTGCGATCCTTTCTATGGGATGGGTATAATAACGGTCATCATATTTTAAAATATTAATTAAAATATGTTTTTAAATATCAATTCCACGGGTGGATTTGGAAGATAATCCCCCACTCGCTTAAAAAATTAATGGAAATGGGTTATTCAAACAGTATGCGATTTAATTGTTGTTTTGAGAACTTTAAAAACAAAAATTCAGAAGTTAAAGTGTACTTTAAATTTAACACGCGGACGATTCCTTCGCTTACGCACAAATTCCGATCGCCAGCACATAAATAAATGGGTTTAAAATTCACAAGAAAAAAAAAGAAGACAGAATCTTAGCCAGAAAATATTCAGATTCAGATAAAAGTGCGTAAAGCGGCAGTTGTAGTAAAATTCATGAGTCTCCGCAGTGCGTTGACTTTTGGAGGCAAGGAGACACGTCTCGGGCAGTGGATTTCGATTTCGCCTCTTAAATAGATAATCTCCATTCCGCAGACCTTTGTTTTTCTTTTTCGCCTTTTATTGCGGAAGAATTTTGACTATTTTGTAAATTAATCGGCGTTTGGGCGTTGACACTGTTCAAGGATTTCCGAGGCACATTTTGAAAACAAAACATTGAACTCGCCCGTCTTTCGGTTTCGATTTCATTATGCAACGCATCTTTAAGTTTAGGGTAAGGTAAACAACGAGAAAACAACTTCTGGGGCTTCTAATTGAGTTGGAAAATGAAGCCTAGGCAAAATGCCAACACGTTCCCCTGCAAAGAAAAAAAAACCTGCACCGATCGCCGCATCGATATGCAAATGATATCCAAATTGTCGTAGCCAGAGATGCCAAAAATTGCTGCCGAATTGGAATCGAGTCCCAAGTGGGTGCTACTGTCAGGGCTAAAGCCCTTTAAGCTGGAGGCCCAGAAAGCGGGTCGACTGGGTCGAGTTTCCCTTCCTCCATTCAGCGATTGCCAATCGACGCCAGCGGCACCCTAAAAGCAAAAGGTTCCAGGAAAGGCAGGGAAGAATTATATACCCTTTCGAAAAGTTTTCTTCAGTTCTCGGTTGTGTTTTTGGGAAATAAAAAAATTGGTTTCAAAAGGAGAAATATACAATACTTGGTTTGGTACGCTTAAATAATTTATTTATTTTAATATTTGTAGTAAGTAAGATTCCAGTTTTTAGATATTTTTAGGTACTAGTAAATATTTTTAAATCATTTTCTTAAAAAAAATTATCCTTTTTGATTAAATACTTTAAACTCTTTTGGAATATAATTAATTTATGAAATATATAATATTTGGCCACATTTTTAATATAATAAATATGTTTTTAATTTTTTAGCTTCAAACCTTTAATAGAATCCCTATACCCAAAAAAAATGCATACCTATTGTATCTCAAAGTTAACCAATTTCTGTCAAAGATTCTTAATGCTTATCTCGATGATCTGATGGTGCAAATCGTTTTTGAATGCCACAAACCGTGTTGCTGTCTATTGCTATTTTGCTATTCTGAGCTGCTAACTGCGATTTCGGTTGTCTAAGTGCTTGGTGTTGCTGCTAGTTGTCGGTTGTTGGTTGTTGTTGGTTGTTGCTGGTTGTTGTCGGTTTGCACTTTGGCTGATAAGTTTATCTAGTGCGGAGTTCAAGTACAGTCGTTTCTCGATCTTGACAAATATTTGGCAATTGTGTAATCAAATTACCGGAATAAATGTGACTGGCCGTCTTTTTGTGTCTCACTTCGATGGGAAATTGAGCATCATAATAGGATATTCCAGGGAACGAAAATAACTGTTATTGTAAATTTTTCATACAAAAAAATCACGCACTTAGAAGGGTCCTAAAAATTTTTTAAATACACCACAATTTTTATTAGCCATTGTAGTTTACAAATCCGTAATGATTTTTATTTTTTGATTTTTATAATAAAACTCAAAAAATAACTGTTATTTTTTGATTTTTATGAATAACAGTAATTCCCTTGACATTTTTGAAAAAACGAAATAATTAAAAAAAACATGATACCCGTGCTTTTTATAACTTACTAAAAATTTGTTAAAAAAGGCAACCGCGCATATTTTATACCTATATTTTTTTTAAATTTTGTTTACCCACAAAATCGCCATAAATCAAGTTTGAGTTTTATTTTTGATCACGACGAATAACTGTTATTTGTCAACTTTTATTATAAAACTCAAAAAATAACAGTTATTCTTTGAGTTTTACTTTACAAATCAGAAAATAACTGTTAAAGTGTGATTTTTAAAATAAAACTTATAACAGTTACGTTCCCTGGGATATTCTCTTCTGCTGGTTAGCAGAAATATTTTTTAAAATTATACAAACAATAAATTTTTATCAGCAATGTAATCGTTAACTATGTTCCAATTTCAAATAGATTTATTTTCGCTCTTGTGAATTATAGCCTTATATTTATTATAGCCTCTTTATTCCAATTTTGGCATCAGTTGTTTATTAATGATCAGTAACACACAAATAAATTTGTTTGGTAAGCCCTCAGCTTTTCCTTATTGGTACACTGAACATAATAATTTTTGTTTGATTTAATTCATGGCCGTTTTTATTAATTTAAAATATGGTAACATTAAATTTAACAATTATTGTTAATTTCATGATGTTAAACATTGATTTAAGTATGAGCTAATACAAAAATGATTACATAAAAATAATTTCATTTGTTTCTTTATTTTATTTTTATTTAATTTGATTAAAATAAGGAACTTACAATTAAATATTTAGTTATTATTTTATTTATCAGTGCAGCTTCTCGGCATCATCAACATACTTTTTTGCTCTTGTCCCATCAGCAACATATTTTCGTAGCTCTTGGCCCGTTTTGCATAATTACGACTTGGCTGGCTTAATAAATAAGAAAAGTTCACAATTTCCATTGTGCGACGCAGGCGTTGCTCTAACAAGCATAAAAAACGCATTTGCATATGCATTTGTGCGTGCGTGGGTGTTGCATTTGTTGTTGCTGCTGCTGCAGCCGATGAATCACGCGTGATATTTCGCAGTTGCAGTTGCAGTCTGTGAACTATTGTCTACCTTTGCTGCCGTATTCTCTTATTTATTTGCCCCTCACCCTCCCGTCGGCAAATAAAATGGACTTTGCACTCCGCCAACGGGTTGACATTTTCATTATGGAAACTCTTTTATTTTTCCTTGTTGTGTGGACATGTTTTCTCGCTCTCCCTCGATTGCCACCGGCGTCGACAGGCAATACTGCACAGAAAATAAATATTATTACTTTATATTAAAAATTTAAAAATATATAAAAAACCAAAACAAAAATGATATTATTTGTATTACATATTTTGTAATTTAATAATCTAATAAGCAGCCATTAAGATTTTCCTCGCATTTTCTCAAAAAAGAAAATGTCAAACAATTGTAATAAAGTTCAATTGTATTTTCTAAACTAATTTCTTTCAGTGCCTTCTGGGCGGGTTAAGGGGCGTGGCCACCTATGGCAGTCACTCAAGCGATTTTCAATGCGTTGACAGTTCAGGTTGTCAATCGTTTTGTGTTTTGCAGTGTAGGTGTTACAATTGCTGACTTGGCTGTTCACCGTGATTAAGCTGTGAAGTGCAATTGAAGGCATTTCAATTGTCGATTGTCAAGACCCCAAAACATTAGCATAGGCCCAACAAATTGTCCATGAGAATGCGCAGAACTGTCAGGGGAGACTTAAGATTGGCAAAATAAACAAGGGGAACATGGTTTATTATTTATTTATTTTATGCTCATAACATTTAATCAAATGTGATATGTACAGGAGAAATAAAGGTAATTCAAAAATTGGATTCATATATAGTTTCTTAAGAACTTACCTATGTAAACCCAGAAAATGAAACGATGTTCGATTTCATGTTTTGTTGTATCAATTTTCACTTGATATGCGGGCACCTCAATTCGATATGCTCGAAGTGTAAGCAACAGGCCAGTTCGAATGTGTCTTTCTTCCTCGCACTCTTTATTTTATAAATTAATTTAATTAAATATGTTGTACATTTTAATTCATATATTTTTGTATAAATATTTTTAAAGCTGTTTAGTTTAATTGTCAAGCTGTCTTTTAGTATTTTCCAAACTAGTTAGTGACCAAAAATCCCCCGCAACATCAACAGAAAAAGCACATAAAATGTCCAACATCAAATTTCAATTATCGCAATGGAAAAAGGAAGCTGTCGGAGGGCAACATTCAACGCGACCCCAAACAGAAAAGCAAAACCCACCGAAAACAAGTGTCTCAAACGGCGGAGGAGCAGCTGGCGAAATGCAAACTCACTCCATACTCGAACACCCAAATGGCCAACCGTCTGTGATTTTCACATGGGCAATTAATGTTTCAATAAACGATATTCTAGCAGCAACAAATTTGTAGCAACAGCAACTGTTGCTGCTGCAAGAGCAACACATCCTAATGTTGCTGCTGCCGCCGTTTCATGTTGCACCACCGAAACTCGCCTCGAATGGAAAATGTTATTGAAATTGGCTTTTTATGTTTATGAAAACGGCCGCCGCGGCTCGGATTGCCATTTCCATTCCGAATCCGATTTCCACTCTCGTTAATTACTGCCATTTTCCATCGTATTTATGCTCACGCCTCGCTCACGTTTTGGCCATCAGCGAACATCGCGAACGC